AAAAAAAAATATCCAGTAACCTGCCAGCAGCGATGCCAACTTGCGGGGAATTAGTCTCGTTGCGGGGGATCGGGGAATCGCTGCGTTTTGCGGGGAATTTTTACTAAATATTTAATTTTAAATTTGCGGTTCTGTGAATAAATGAGACAGAGTTAATTTCGGACAAACTTCAAAATTATTGTTTAATTAATCTATCTCGAACAATTTCCTGATTACTGTAATACTCGCAAGCCGTCGGATGTTTCAATGTCATCTTTAATTATAGTATGTCGAATTGTTTTTATTAAATGGCAATAGTCGTACACGCAAAATATTTTTATGCTATCATAAATAAATATCGTCGACCTTCACTTAAACAATTAAATAAAGAAACACAGTTGGCAGCTTGGTCGCAAATGACCGCTTTGACAGTCAACCCGATATCTTAAAGGTGTCGATATTTCGAAGTTAAATCTCTACCAGGTCTGCGTGTAAATCGTTCTTCGAAATATAGTACGAAAATATATATTTACATTCCGAAAGTAGACCTTAAAGCCCAAAATACAATAGCGCAGTGGCAGTGGCAGTGACAGTTTCTAAAATCAGCTGTTACTGCTAATATTGGCAGAAACTTTTCACTTTTGTTTGTTTACAATTTTGTTGTTACCTTTTAGGCTTCAGTGGCATCAACAGAAGTTGGCTGCGTTTCATTCATGTCTGCGATGAAGGTAGTGGCAGTGAATTTAGAATGTGGGCTAAACGGAGCAGTACTGCCAGCTGCCACTGCTGTATTGTGAGTCACTTCATTGGACACCACACTTTCTAAAAAAAACAGCTGATTTCGAAAAACTGCCGCTGCCACTGCCACTGCGCTATTGTATTTTGGGCGCTTTAACCATGAAGACATAAGCACTATTTGCGATTATGTAAAAATACCATAGATTACTGTGAGTGTGGAAATTGAGATTGAGAATCTTATACATTATACAAGGTACCTATTTGACTCACTGTATGTAGTATGTTTTCGCTCATTTTACTCAGCCAATTTAAGTGTTGGGATAGCACCTGGTTTCAGAAATATCCGACCCACAGATCCACACACAAAAAGGAGTTGTGCGGCGGATGATTATACATGATGCGGAGATTCCTCCTCCATTCGGCCACTTCACTTGCGTCTTTGGGGAACGAAAAAAAACCGCGTATCTTTGTTCTTATTACTGCAACATTGCACGCGACACTTTCGCGTTCTCGAGCTCATTTATTATTTTGGTAACAATACCGACTTCCAAAACGTATTAATGCAATGTTTGGAAACTGTTATACTGCGGTATTCAAACTGTTTGTATATGCAGAGTTGCGACACATTGCAACCATACACATTGCATATTTTAAATATTCAAAATAGCAATGAACAATTTTTCTGAAATCTACATTTTTAAAACACCAGTGGTAACCAATAACAAACGAAGCATCGCTCGGAGTAGTTCGGCGCTTGGAAATAACTTCGGCTGCACGTTATTTTGCAACTGACAACGTAATGCGGCGTCGGAGGTCTTCATTTTGTGCTTTACTAGTAGATCACATTGGCCATGATGACAATTTTGGTACTAAAAACTAAAAGACAACATGGCTTACCTCGTAAGGTGTTTACCTATTTTCCCAGTGGGGAATTATGTAAGAATACAAAGACAAATTATTTATCAGAAGCTCTGTCCCTTACACGCTGAAACAAAAAGTAATAAAAACTCTCAAAACAGCAAAATCGCTATTGCGAAATAATGGTTTGAAAACTGCATAAATTCAAATCCGCCAAAAAAAAAACCGCGTAAAAAGGGACCTAAGTGTATATGTATATTGGCAGATTCAGTTTTTAGCTTTTTCGGTTTTAATTGGAATTATGGAAGAATTACAGTTACATGGGATATTATATTGGGATTTTTTTTGCGGAATCGGTTTGGGAACAAATGCACTACCGATACCGGTTTGGGACGAAATGCACTACCGGAATCGGTTTGGGACCAAATGCACTAACCGGAAGTCAGCTGTTTTTTCGCAACAAATCACTACTTTAGAATGGCAACATTAGCACAGCAAAGTGTGAACATTGTACATTACAAATAGCTAAATCTTTTGTAACATGCACCAATTTGCTCCCGATTAAAATTGTTGGTTTTTTTTGTGTATTGACATCTTACTAGTGGAAATCTAGTGATGGCTGTTTCTTAATTAAAAGAAAGTTGATGTTAAATAAAATCGCAAAGAACATATGCAAACTGTCCAAGCTTAAAGTGAAAAATAGGGAAATCTTCGGACTAAGAAATATATCTATTGTCGGTCAAAATTAAGCGTAGTTAGTCAAACGCAATGTCTAGTGTGTGGCCGCCTCAAATATTGTTAATAAATATACAGATGTATGTAGGTACATATGAATTATGTACTTGCAGTAAATAAAAAAGGCCGACCGACCGTTCTTAATATTCGCTAAAATTTGTGCTGTCCAAAAACATTGCATTTTCGCGTTCGTGTTCAAAATTAGTGTTTCCAAACTCAAATAGGTTGATATTTCTGTTTCCGAACTGAAAAATCAAAACTTGCTGTAATATCAACTAACACTGGTGATCATCCATTGACAGTAAAACAAATTGAGAATCCTAAACTAATTGTATTTGAAAAGAAATACACACTTCGTTCCGTGAATATGAAATGTGAGTTCACGTATTTATTAGAGTATGCATATACATACCTACATGTGTACTTACATAAGGAGCAGGGTTACCAATACATTCTTAGGACTGCACCTTGGAAGTGTTTATTATAGTTCGGTTTTGTGAAAGTTTTGCAAAAATAAACCAATTTGATTTTCAAATATTGAAAATCAATAAATCAATTAGGTTAATTTGAAGTGGGAAATTTTGACTATTCCTTCTTATTTCTAGTTTCGTATATATCTAACTTTAAAATACGATTCCCTCATTCGCTATAGTAAACAGCAAAGTGGCAACTCTTTACGTTTCTCTGAGAACCTAATTGTGCAAAGAGGCTCTTTTATTGTATACAGTGGCGGCTTTTGAACCTGAAATCTGCTCTATGCTCTATTCATAAATTCACACGCGTTCCTTATTAATGGGAGGCGAACGTTACGTGAGTCTACGATTGGTGGTTCATTCGCTCCATTTTTCATACTGCAGAAATATAAAATATGTACTTTGCGACCAAGTATCTTTATAATTGAATCACTTTGTGTACATTTCAATGTTAGAGTTAATTTAGCGACTTAAATTAAAGCACATATACTAAACGTGAGCTCGTGTTCCAAAAGAAACCCATAAACTATAGTTAATGCAAAGAATGAAAGTGCAAACATATACATACACACCAAAGTGAAAAATACCCACACATCGGTATATGTATTTTAGTGATGAAGCGAATTAAAAATTGCAATTCAATTGATAATGAAATACATGCATATGTAAAAAATACACATGTACATTGGTTGTCGCACTAAATAGCGCATAAAAGTTGGAAAAAAGTAAGCAAAATTTGTGTATACAAAAGTCGAGAAAATTTTTACCTACACACACATCCATATGCATGCATGTGCATACATACATATATACATATTTTTATGGCGATACTTGGGTATGTACATACATACATATGTACGACGAAATATTTGTGCTGTGCTCCTACAAATGTATGCACATATTTGCATTAAAGTATATACATATATGAGATTCTTCTGATCGGCAAAACTTTAAAATTGGGAAAATTTTGATACGAAGTGTAAATTACATAAATATGTATTTGTACAAACAAGTAGATACAAAAGAATTTAAAAATTGTATTGACAAAAGGGCGTTTAAAGATAAAGTACCAGCTCAGAGAATAAAAGCTCCTTTTGTCTCTCAAATTCGTCCTATCGGAGAGAATAAAAGTTCGAAAAGGTGAAAAAATTTTAATCGCATATAAATTTCACATACACACATACGCGCTTATTTATGTGTGTACATAATTATGTACGTATGTATATGTGTGGATGCATTTTTAAAGTGCGGATTAAATGAGTGGATGACCATTCTTTAGTACCTATGTATGTAAATACGTATCTGCATAAATACATATGTATGTATGTACATTAGAGTGGTGCAATAATGCATGTGAAAAAGTAACGTCGGAATTTTGATGCCGCCACCCCCTAGGATCCCTCTGTACCGAAAAAGGTAATCGAGTAGTCCACTTGCAAAGTGCTCTATGTGAAAATTTTTCGATTTTTAGTTTTTGGTGGTTAACGTACCAGTATTTAAAGTAGTTTCATGTCCACTAACAATGCAGTGAAAATCCTTATATATTCTGAAAAAATAGCGTCAAATGTTAGGTACTCTAGCGAAAGTCGCTATAATACTTACTGTATGTACATATATATGTATACACTATAATATTTATTGTACGTATTTATACAAGTTAAAAAAATCTCCGTCTTCTGATGAACTTAGAAAACTGCAACAAAACGTGGAAGTTTCGGTGCTTAGTGGAAGGCGTCGCAGAAAAGAAGCAGACCAATCTTCATGGAAGAGAGAACGCGTAAAGCTATAAAAAGCTAGCTATGTAAAAGTTACTTTTTCAAAACTCGCTATAGTATTTTTTTATATGGGCCATTCCATTGTGACTGGTGGGAAATTTTACTCCAGAATTTAATCAATTGTGAATTATAACAATGTCGTCGGAACTTA